TTTCCATTCCCCTTTCAATAAACAATAACATTCCATCTCCCTTCCTAATCATTCGCTGTACCTGCAAACTTATAGTTTGCAATTTATGTACCAGAACACCCAGATCCCTCTGTACCTCAGCATTGTATAATCTCTCTCCATTTAAATTGTATGCTAGTCTTCTATTCGTCCTGCCTAAGTGGATAAGTTCACATTTTTCCACCTTACACTTTGAAACTTGGGGGTGAATGGGGGTCAGTGACAAAACATGGATAATGGATAAACAAGATTTGGTTGGAATGAAGACAAGATTTATCGGGGAATTTGAAATATTGTGGGCAATTCTGGCTGTTAGACTTCAGGAAAGAGTTAAGTAACTCAGAAAGGAAAAGAGAAGAGGTTGCTATTCAGAACAATAAGGAGTTCAATAATGAGAAGAAAGTTTTGGCCTGTCCTTGGAAAAGTAAAGGTTAAGAGGCAACTAATCAAGGTTTGCGGATAGGAAGATGATGAGTGCTTGATAGCATTGGTACCTTTTTATTGATTACACACTCACTGCCCTCAATAACCATACAGGTACAGATTTAAAATCAATGGCTAAGGATTTAGAGGGGAGCTGAGGAGTGTTGTATGTTTTCATATATTTGATTTTCCTCAGAGCAATGTAAAGGTGAATCTAGTTTCTAAGTGTGCAGGAGCTTTATTTACAGAGTCCTGTATAACGTCTGCACCATCCTCAAAGTTCAGCCCCTACTTGCTTCCATGGTGCTGATTTACTTTGTTCTGAGTCAACATCCAGGCTTAACCAAACAAATGCAGTGAACATAGATCAGATAGCAGACTCACATAATCAAACACAGAACAACTGAAGCATTGAACACTACAAGGAGGAATGTTTCTACATGCACTTGTTGGGATTAGAAACATTTGACTTAAAGAGTTGGTATATGCTGAAGCCATAAATAATGGGAGTTGGACACATGCCTGAACTTGTGGGGGTTCAAAAAGCAGTGTGTAAGACTAAATAAAGCTGTCGTTACAAAAAGCAGGAACAACAGGCCAAATGGTCCACATCTATCTTATGATTCTATGATCGGATAGTGTGGTAATATTTTACTCACTCTGCTTCTGCTGTTGCGACAGGGCATTTGTACTGAGCTGTGTTAAACAGACAGATATCGGCATACTGACGAACTGTAAAACAACAGAGGCACATTTGAGAAAGAAACAGAATGGCAGTCTTGGTTGTCTGTCTCGTGTTCGCTCTCACTTTCTGCGCTAACCCCTGCCAGAATCCAAGGGCATCAATCAGGCACACCCTTGATGTGTCTCAATCCCAAGATTGCTATTTGAGGCCATGAGGGCTGGTGGATTGTTGCAACATAGAGGATGAGTTCATAGCTAAAACCCACCTTCAGGTTAAAGCTGTGGCCTTCTAAAACTATTGGCACTGTACAAATTAATTGTCACCGAATTAATGCTGAAGGGGGATACATTTTGCCAAAGTTCTTCATTTTGCGCTCATCAGGACAAATGCAAGAATGCCAAATTTCAAGCCATCACAACAATTTATAACAGGAGACCCCTTTCCTCCTGCATTATAAATTGATGTGATCAATGGAAATTTTGCGTACTCGGGATGAGTTGGATGTGGAATAGTTTGGGCTTGTGACTGGTCTAGTGACATTCCCATTGCCCCACCTCCTCTCCCAAAACATAGTGTTACTGGACCAGTCATCCCGAAGTTCAAAGCTCTGGTGACCCGGGTTCAAATCTCACCATGGCAGCTGGTGGAATTTAAATTTCATTCATAATCTGGAATTGGACTTTGGTCTCAGCGATGGTGACCATGAAATCATCATAGATAGTTGTAAAAATCTATCCAGTTCACTCATGTCCTTTAGGAGGGAAATCTGCTAACTTTAACTGGTCTGACCTACATGTGACTCCAGGCCATAGTAATGTGGTTAACTCTTAATTGCCCTCTGGGCAATTAGGGATGGGCAATAAATGCCTATCATTTCTATGAATGAATTAAAAAAAAAACCCACAACAATGTGACCAAACAAGCCACTCAGTTCAGGGGGCAATTAGGGATGGACAACACACATTGGTCTTCCAGCAATGCCCATGTGCCACAAGAAAATAATAAAACAAATTCTTGCATCACTCCTGATGAATGGAAGATGAACAGTATCAACAAGTCTCTCTTCAGCAAGATTCAGTTCCTCTTGACACATTTGAAGCCCCATTCAAAATCCAGAAGGGCAATTTTTGAAAATTACATCTTCCAAACAAATCTGTGGCAAGAACAGAACTCTAGTCCCATCAGTGATAGATCCTGGTGAGGGGTTGCTGGTCAGCATTTCAATAAAGCAATTCACTCTCAAAGTAATATTGAGAGTCAAGGGTGTTGTTAGAATGAGCACTTCCTGGGGGTCACCTACCAGCAATCTTTAGCTTCTTAACGGTCTTGTTGGTGTTATTAGTCACATGGACATTGACATTTATAGGTTCTCCGTGATAATAAATCTGGAACGGCAAAATGTTCACAGGTTTTAAAACACAGAATCCTCTGAGGTATGGGGTGACTCAGGCCTGTCATCAAGATTATGTGTTTGAGAGTGCATTCGCTGCATTAAAAGTATTGTCTGATGAGCTATATTTATGATTTAGAGACATGATATTCTGTTAGGGATTGTTGTTCATTGAATTGGAGACACAAAGATCCCCAGTTCTCCCAGGTCAACCATTTAAGTCAACATGGAAATCACACAGTGATGATAGATGGCTAAAAACACAAAACTACATCAAATAACAGATACCCAGGAGTGAGTTACAGACCGGAATCTAATCAAGGGATTTAGGGTGGTTTATACACAGAATAACAGATACCCGGGAGGAGTTACAGACTGGAATCTAATTGGGGGATCGGGGGTTTATATATATGAATAATAGAAATCTGATAATGGGTTACAGACTGGAATTTAATTAAGGTGTTCAAGGTGGTTTATATATAGAATTACAGATACCTGGGAGTCAGATGTGGACTGGAATGTAATTGAAGGGTTTAGGGGTTTATATATAGAATATCAGATACCTGAGAGTGAGTTACAGTCTGGAATTTAATCAAGGGGTTTGGGGTGGTCTATATTTAGAATGACAAATGCCTGGGAGTGATTTACAGACTAGAATCTAATTGAGGGGTTCAGGGTGGTTTATGTACACAATAATAGATACCAGGAGTGAGCTACAGACTGGAATCTAGTCAAGGTGTTCGGGTGTTTTATGTTTAGAATAACAGATACTTGGGAGTGAGTTATAGTCTGGAATCTAATCGAGAGGTTCAGGGTGATAGTTTTTACATGGAATAACAGACACCTGGGAACTAATGGAATAACAGAGACCTGGGTGAGATAAAGGGTCTTTTCTCAGATATAGGTTGAAAGAAGACTGCAGACTCTTAAGTCACCTTTCTCGTAACTCTAAGCCACAGTGTCTCTCGTTATCCTGTGGTCTCTCACCTCTTTGTCCAGCGATGCCTCGAGGTGGAGGGGTTTATCTGACATGAGGAACTGCCTGGTGGTCTCAGCCATTGGTTGTGGACCAGGTTTCTCCGGAGCGTACTGCACTTTTCGAATTACCAGCCTCACCGAGTTCCTGGCAGCAGAGAGTATCGTGAGATTGATCCAGATAAATTCAGTGATAACCAACAGAAAACAAACCAGGAGCACTGAGCGGTATCTCTCAGTCCAAAGCAGGAGAGAATGAGGGATAATTTGGAGGAAGGTATGGTTTTAGGAGTGGGGTTGGGTGTAATCACCTTTTGAAACCTCTGGACTCATTTTCTCTGCCTTACACATTCAGAAAAGCAAACAAATTATGACCAGGAGTAGGCCATTCAGCCCCTTGTACCTGCTCCACCATTCAATAAGATTGTGACTGATGTGATTACCTCATGTGCCCACCTACTCCCAATAATCTTGGACCCCCATCTTTACCAAGAATCTAGCCACCTCTGCTTCAAAAATGGCCTCAGGCTCCACCACCTTTCAAGAAAGACACTTCCAAAGTCACATGAACCACTGTCAGAAAAATTTCACCTCATCTCTGTCTTAAAGGGACCACACCTTATTTTTAAAACAGTGACCCATTATATAAACAATACCAAACTGATGAGGGGCAATGTGTTCTCTCATGGCAATGAGATGAGGGTGGGGGGCCTGGCAAGACTGGGATTACAAAGATCCAGCTACAGGCACAATGGACTGAAATATAGAAATACAGGAACTAGGAGCAGGAGTAGGCCATTCAGCCCTTCAAGCCTCTTCCACCATTCAATATGATCATGGCTGGTCATCCAACTCAGTTCCCTGTTCCCACTTTCTCCCCATACCCTCTGATCCCTTTAGCTCTGGTATTCTCCTTCTTGAAAATATTCAGTGTTTTGGCCTCAACCGCTTTTTATGGCCGAGAATTTCACAGGCTCCCCACTCTCTGGGGTGTAGACATTTCTGCTTGCCTCAGTCCTAAGTGGCCTGCCCCGTATCCTCAGACAATGACCCCCTGGTTCTAGACTCCCCGAATCATTATGAACATCCTTCCCAAGTTTACCCCGTCTGTGAAGTGGAATGGCCTCTTCTGTTGCAGCAAGATTGCATTTGAATGATAGTGAGGAGAGTGGGTCCCTGTGGTACCTTTCTCTTCTCCTCCGAGAATATCATCACTTCCTACAGTGTGGGCTCATTTGAACTAAAGTCTATTGGCCGAGTGAGCAGGAGCTAATCAGCACTTTGTGCAAAGTTGTGGTTCTCCACACCATCACCATCCCCTCCCCTCCTCTCCCCCACTACCCCTAAACCCCACACACCCTCCAATTTCTTTTCCCACAGCGAAGGAAGAGTAAACTAAAAGATGGAAGTATAAACGGCCCTACCTTTTATGAATTTTCTCTTCCAAGTTCTCGGCGCAGTACGTTTTCACCTCAAAATCCACACCGCAAGCCTTTGTGAAGCGAAGGAGGGAAACCCACAATGAATGTTAGCCAGTGGAAGCTGCATTCAAAAGGTTTTGCAACAAAATGGTCCCTTAGTGGGACTGCAGCAATGAAAGGTCTCATCATCCTTGATCAGTGTGAGGCAGGTCTCCTTTACAAAGAGGCAATGGCATTTGGCTAGCATTTTATTGCTCATCCCTAATTGCCCTTTGAACTGAGTGGTTTGCTTGGCCACCTCAGAGGGCAGTTAAGAGACAACCACATTGCCGTGGGTCTGGAGTCACATGAAGACCAGACCAGGTCAGGATGGCAGAAATATATTCGTGAACCCATCATTGAAACGAATGTTCAATTCCAGTTTTACTAATTTAATTTAAATTCCACAAGTTCCCATGGTGGGATTTGAACTCATGTCACCACAGCCTCTGGATTACTAACCCAGTGACAGTGCCACTACATCACCTCCTCCACGAAATAAGACATACAGGTACATATGGGATTTAGGATTTGGGATTTGGGGTCTGTTGGCTGGTACAGCATTGCCTGTCACTTGAACTGAGTGACTTGCTCGGTCATTTCAGAGGCAGTTAAGAGTTAACCACATCACTGTGGGTCTGGAGTCACATGTAGACCAGGTAAGAATGGCAGATTTCCATCTCTAAAGGACATCAGTGAACTATATGTGTCTTTTTCCATGGTCATCATCACTGATACTAGTTTTTAATTCCAGTTTTATTAATGGAGTTTAAATTTCTAATTTTGCTGTGGTCAGATTTGAACACATGACCGTATAACATTAACCAGCGACTCTAGATTATCAATCCAGTGACAATACCAGTGACATTACCCTGTGTTACTGCCTCCCCTTATTAAAGATAACTAGGCCACTTGGGATAATTTACAAGGAGGTAGAATGGAAAAGTTAGGACGTTTTGTTAACATTAATTGGTCTGTTATGGCGTGAAGGTAGTTGGGTATTGAGGGATAAGGGAAGGAGTTGGGTGAGGTAAGCGGATATGGGGAGGAGGTGGGTGGGGTTGGAGGATATGATGAGGGACTGTGTGACATTGGGGAATATGGAGGGTGTGAGGTTGGAGGGTATGGGAAGGAAGTGGGTGGGCTTGGAGGATATGGGAAGAATGTGGGTGGGTTGGGAATATGGAGAGAAGGTGGTGGGTTGGAGGATACGAGGAGGAGGCATGTGGGGTTGGAGGATATGATGAGGAACTGTGTGACGTTGGGGAAAATGGGGAGGTGCTGAGTGGGGTTGGAGGATATGGGAAGGAGATGGGTGGGGCTGCAGGCTATGGAAGGAGGTGGGTGGGTTAGAGGATATGGGAAGGAGATGGGTGGTGTTGGAGGATATGGAAAGGAGATGGATGGGGTTGCAGGCTATGGAAGGAGGTGGGTGGGTTAGAGGATATGGGAAGAAGGTGGGTGGGGTTGGGTAATATGAGGAGGTGGGTGGGTTTGGGGTAAGATGATGAAGAGGTGGTTGGGCAGGTTTTAATCACCCACAATATATTCTCTGTCCCATTCTGCAAATAAGGGACTTAAATGAGGTAAATAGATGAAATAGAAAAGGGCACTGAATGAAAGTGAAATGAAAAGGGAGAGAAAGAGAAATAGAGAAGATGGGGGTTGAAAGAAGAGGCATGAAGAAAAGAAGATAATGAAAGAAGTAAACTGCAGGTCAGATGGAAGTTATACCTTTCCTGTGTCTTCAGGTCCTGGTTGCAACGTGACTGAACAAGGTAAGTTAGGAGGAATCTGGAAAAAAGAGAGTAACGGTCTTCCCATCAGTATCTGCATTGTCTGCCTGAATGTGCCTGAGCTGTTGCACGACAGCTCCCATCACACAGTCAGCGGGTAAATGGTGCACACACATCAGCGAGAACAGAACATCAACTCTACCCACAGCACGAGTAACTTCGAGAAACCCAAGATGTGAGTGTGTTTAATCACCTCAGATACACCGAAAGCAACAATTTCACCTCAGCTAGGGTAAATCCAATCGATTTCTCTTTACAGCCCATCTTTACATTTCCGCTGAAGATAAACTGAACTGAAAAGTTCACGAAAGATCACAATACTTCAATTTTATCATTCTCATCCTTGTTTTCAATCCCCTTCACGGTCTTACCCTTCTCCCCTGCCTATCCAGCACCCAGCCACCAACCCTCCAGTATTCCTTTCTTTCACTGATTCTGGCCTCAGGTGTTTGGGGATGGGACGGGCCGCAAAATCCACCCCCTCCCCCAATCACCATGCTCCCCTCACACCCTCAAAGCGTAGATTGTGGGGGACCAGGCAGGAGGTAGCCAAGGACAGATTCAGCAGCAGATGAGCTGAGACAGAACCATTGTCAAGTGGCGGTACAAGCGGGGGAAATATGTGGCCTTTGTAAGCGGCGGTATATAAATGTAATTTGTTGCTGCTCTTCAGCAAGACTCTCATGGAATAATGCACAATGGTTTGAGCCTCTTTACCAGCTCAGCACCTCACTCTGTAACAGCTCCTGCCCTCGTAGTTAGAATCTGAAATTCAGAGCACGAACCTCGAATGTGAAGGGATAGGCATGTTCTCCCAGTTTTTTGATCAAACGTTCCTGGAGCCGGGTTAATGGTTTCCTCTCCTCCACTATGGGTGGAAAAGCTTGAACATTGGCGACAAAGAGATCCTTCCTAAAAGTCAGGCCCAACACGTCCAAATCTTCACGGCCATATCGAAAGGCACAGGTCAAAGTGACAAAGACTGTGAAGAGCAGACAGAACTATTAGCTGGTTCGAATATCCTCATATAAACAGGGTTGTCACAATCTCTCAAGCCATCAGGCAATGTCCTGAGCATCAAGTTTCAAATTTCCAAGACACTGGGTCTACCTTTCCTTTTTTACCCTACCCACCCATTTAATGCCCCTCACACTGCCCTGTGTACACTCTCCCACCATCACTGACCCTACCCACTCATTTAATCCCCCTCCCATTGCCCCGTGTACACTCTCCCCCCATCACTGACCCTACAAACCCATTTAATCCCCCTCCCACAGCCCCGTGTACACTCTCCCCCACCCTATCACTGACCCTACCCACCCATTTAATCACCCCCCCACAGCCCTGTGTGGTTTCTTTTTGTTTTAAATCAACCTGTTGAGATGTGTTATGACACATGTCTGAAGCAGAGAAAATACTTTGACATGATACTCAGATACTTTGACATGACACGCAGTAGGAGGGGACACAGTGTACAAGCATTAAAAACAAAGCAGATGTGGGAAAAGATGGTAAAATGGCTAATTGATGGCTCTTGACTTGAAAGTGCACAGTACTCAAAAGAAAATGAATAAATTAATGGCACAGGAAGAGGTCAATGGGTCAGATTTTATAATGGTTGCATTATGGTTGCAAAGAAGTCAAAGCTGGTATATGTAACTTTTCAAACTTGGCAAGAAGGGAATGTTGGTGTCATCTTCTTAGTACTTAGAAATGGAATATGTATGGTAGCAAGGAACAATCTTGGATTGGATGATGCAGAATACATATAGGTTGAGATTCGAAATAATAAAGGGAGGAAAGATATTATTGGGAGTTGTCTAAAAGTCGCTAAACAGTAACTATACCATAGGACAGAGAATAATTCACATAGAATCCCTACAGTGTGGAAACAGGCCCTTTGGCCCAACTAGTCCACACCGACCCTTGGAGCATTCCATCCAGACCCATCCTCTTATAACTCACTTAACCTACACATCCCTGAACACTATGGGCAATTTAGCATGGCCAATTCACTTAGCCTGCACATCTTTGGACTGTGGGAGGAAACTGGACCACCCAGATGGGGGCCATGCAGACACAGGGAGAATGTGCAAACTCCACACAGACAGTCACCTGAAGGTGGAATTGAACCTGGGTCCCTGGCGCTGTGAGGCAGCAGTGCTGACCACTGAGCCACCGTGCCACCCAATTGGGGCTCTAAATAAATAAGGGTGTTAATTGGCAGTTTTTCAATCCTCTGGGACTTTTACAGAATGTAAGGATTCTGGGAAGATTGCTACCAGTGCATCAATGTGGCGCCATTGTATTTCCTGTATTGTAATTCAACTCAATTGATTTCCTTGCTGATTCTGTGCCCAACAACTATCTGTTTTCAACTGTTTTCATTATACTGTAACCACTCCGGTCCAAAATGCTTGGGACCACGTCATTTTGAATTTCAGAGTTTTCTAGTTTGTGTAAACTGGAAAACACCACAGATATAATGCTGAGGTAGTACAGAGCTTTGGTGAGGCCTCTGCTGGAATACTGAGTACAGTTCTGGTCGCCCTGCTACAGGAAGGATATTATTAAACTGGAAAGGGTTCAGAAAAGATTTACCAGGATGTTGCCAGGGATGGAGGGTTTGAATTATAATAATAGGCCGGGACATTTTTTACACTGGAGCGTAGGAGGTTGAGGGGTGTTTTAGGTTTTATAAAATCATGAGGGGTATAGATCAGGTGAATGGCAAGGGTCTTTTCCCTAGGGTAGGGGAGTTCAAAACTAGGGGGCATATTTTTAAGGTGAGAGGAGAAAGTTTTAAAGACATGAGGGGCAAACCTTTTACACAGAGGATGGTTCGCATGTGGAATGAACTTCCTGAGAAAGTGGTGGATATGGATACAATTACAACAGCTAAAAGACATTTGGATAGATACATGAATAGGAAATGTTTGGTGGGATATGCACCAGGAGCAGGCAGGTGTGACTAATTTAGTTTGGGATTATGGTTGGTATGGACTGGTTGGATCCAAGGGTCTGTTTCCTTACTGTATGACTCTAGGACTCTATCTTTATAGCTACTTCCTTTAATATCCAGAGACACATCCCTTCGGGTCCAGGGGATTTATCAGTCTTCAGCTCCATTAGTTTCCCTAGCATTGTTTCTCTAGTGATAGTTGCTGTATTTATTTCTTCCTGTCTTTAGACCCTTGAATATTTAGAATTTTTGGAATGCTGTTAGGGTCCTACACCACGAAGTATTTCTTCAGCTCTTCTGCCATTTCCTGGCTCCCCAATATTATTTCTCCAGCCTCACTCTCTAATGGGCCTATATTCACTTAGAATCCCTACAACGTGAAAACAGACTGTTTGGCCCATCGAGTTCACACCACCCCTCCAAACAGCATCCCACCCAGCCACACCCGTGTGCCCTATCTCTGCAACCCTGCATTTCCCACGGCTAATCCATGTAGCCTGCACATCCCTGGACACCATGGGACAGTTTAGCATGGCCAATCCATCTAACCTGCACGTCTTTGGACTGTGGGAGGAAACCGGAGCACCCGGAGGAAACCCACGCAGACACGGGGAGAATGTGCAAACTCTACACGGACAGTTGCCTGAGGGTAGGATTGACCCTGGGTCTCTGGCGTTGTGAGGCAGCAGTGCTAACCACTGGGCCACTGTGCTTACCTCCAGGATTGAACCAGGCATGTCATCTCTGTATAAACAATAATCTTCAAAAGGATTCAAGTAAAACATCAGAATGTATGGCACTGTTTATCCCCAATGAATGAATTGATGTCTGTTGATCTGTATGTGTCTCACAGTTGGTTCCTGGACACAGGTGCAAGTCAGAAACTCGATATCTGTTGGAGAAGCAACCACAATCCTTACCTTTCCTTTCCTTCAGATATTCTGGATCAACCAAGACAACACCATCTGCAGAAAGAAAGAAGATACTTATCACAATCTACTGCTGAATGCTAATGGTAATGCTTCTTAAAAGGTGCGTTCATGTAGCTCAATTTCATCTCCCCACATCATTCACATGGCTGTCTTGCACAGAAGTAAAAGATGGGCATCATGGTGACAGGTCAGCAACTTTAATCTTCTCTCACAGCCCTGTGTACACTCTCTCCCCCTCACTGACTCTATCCACCTATTTACATGTAGACAATGCTTGGCAGTTAACTGTCAGTCATCATCTAATTGGTGCAATCAGAGTCAGCCTGGCAGATGCAAATTTAGACCAAGTTTGGAAATTAACTGTCAGTCAACTTGAAATCATTGCATTCTCCATGGCAATGTCTCCACAAATCGGGATTGGGCAGGGGATTCCTCTACCTCATGCGCTGGTCAATATTCATCCCCCAACCAAAGGACATGGGTCATTATAAAGTTGTTGCTTTTATGAGCCCTCTGAGTGCAAAGTGTTTGCCACACTACCACAGAGAGTGCACCTGAAAGTGTGCCTCATTCTCTGTGAAGCACTTTGACACATCAGGAGGTCGTGAGAAGTAATTTTTTTTTCCTCTCGGGGGTGCCTAAAGGATATCCACCTCTGATTAATCATTTTACCATCAAAGTACTGGATCTAGACAGTAAGTTGTCAGTTGCTCCATGCACAGCAAGATCCCACAAGCAGCAAGGAGGTGAAGGAATCCGCTTTTGGCCGGGGCTCTAGGGAAACTTCAACTGCGATGCAATGGGAAACATCCCTGGGTTCCTGCAATTTGTCTCACATTATTCTTAAAATCCAGTGAAACCAGTAACAAAACCACAGAATTGTTGTGACGTAGAAACAGGCCATTCAGCCTATTGTGCCTTTCCAGTTCTACTGTCTCATGTCAATATCCCCACATCGAGGGCCGAAGGGCCTGTACTGCGCTGTAATGTTCTATGTTCTATGTTCTATATCCCTGCACACCATTTCTATCCAAATAACCATCCAATGCCTTTCTTGAATGCCTCAATTGACCCTGCCCCCACCACATTTCCAAACAGTTCATTCCAGATTCTAACTGCTCGCCGGGGGAATACATTTTTTCTCACATCATCCTTGCTTCATTTGCACATCATTTTAAGTCAATTCCGTCTTGTTCTTGCTCCTTTCACAAGCCAGAAAACAGCTCGTCCCCATTGATTCTATCCAGCCTGCTCATGATTTTGAAAACTTCGATCAAATCTCCTCTCAGCAATCTCCTCTCCAAGGAGAACACTCCCAATTTCATCAATCTATCCGCATCTTTGAAGGTACATTCAACAGTGCAGGAAAATCTCAGCAGGTTTGTCTGCCTGAGGCTCTCTGGTCCAGAGAGTGGTGGAGACATGCTCCTGGAATATTTCTCATGTTGACAGTCAGATTCTTGACCAACAAGGAAGCCAAAGGATATGGGGCAGTAGTCAGGAAAGTGGACAGATCAATTGGATCTGCCATGATCTTATTGAAGGTGGTGTAGTTTAGACGGGCTGAATGGCTTTCTTCAGCGCCAATTCCATCAGCTCATATGAAGAAGAATCATATCGGACTCAAAAGACTAACTAGCTGCCAAAGATGTGCCAGTTAGGTGGATTGGCCATGCTAAGTGTCCAAGGATGTAACGGTTAGGTGCATTTCACCAGCACAGACTTGATGGGCTGAAGGGTCTTTTTTCTGTGCTGTAGACCTCAACAACTCTAAATCTAACTGGATGGCTTTGAAAGAGACAACATTGACTTGTTGGACTGAATGGCCTCCACCTGTGCTGTGCTGTTCTACGACTCTATAAGGAGAACTCCTGCACTTTGCAATTGTGGCCACGGAATTTTACATCCCATCTGAGGGGGAGGGATGGTGGAGAGGGTTGGGGGTTCTGTGTGCATGACCTCATGTAATCTCTCATCCAATGGACCACTTAAGCTGATAATGCAGCACTCCTTCGGTACTGCTCTGGCACCTGGTTTGATGCCTAACGTTCTGGAATGGAACCTGAACCCACGTTCTTTTGCCTCAAAGGGGAGTGTGTTCCTGTCCAAAGCAAATCAGACACTTGGTGGTGAGGCCAGCACGAGAAGCCAGTCCACAGTCTATTCTGATTATTTTGTGCGTGTATTGCATTGGTGCACTCACCAACAGGCTCCACAAAGTCTACATGGTCGACAAAATCCCTTTTCCCAAGGTAGACGGTGAGCTGTAAAGTGGTAAGAGAAGCAAGGGATTATATTTCCTTGGTTTCACAGAATCGGCATATTGCTGGAGGCAGCGATGCACTGTCAAAGTTATGAGTCCCTGGGATGTGTGGATTGTATCAAATAGCATATCCCTTTGGCTGTTCACAACAAGCAGAGTATTGACTGGACCCAACCAGCCTGTGCTTGCAAAAACTCGGAACATAATTTCTAATGTTGGAATGTGACAGTATTGGCTGAATAACTCCATGTATGAAAAGAACTACAGTAACAACCAATTTAACATTGTTTCTTAGATTCAAAATAAAATTCCTACTTGACAGCAGGCTCATACAATCATAAGCATGGAGCCGTTCACTGTAGGATAAAGGAACATTAGAAGAATGGGAGGTGATCTCATTGAAAGATATAGGATTCTTAAGGGAAAATGCTGACAGTCTACGATCACAGGGCATAGCCTCAGAATAAAGAGGCACCAATTTAAGACTGAGATGATGAGGAAGTTCTTCTCTCAGAGGGTTGAGAGTCTTTGGAACTCCTTGCCACAGAGAGCAGTGGGGGCAGAGTCCTTGTGTATATTTAAGACTGAGATAGATCTTGATCAGTCAGGGAATCAAGGGTTATGGGGAAAGGGCAGGAAAGTGGGTGTGAGGAATGTCGGATTAGCTGTAATCCTATTGAATGATGGAGCTGGCTCAAGGGGCTAAATGTTCCTATTCCTGTTCCTATTCCTTACGGTCTCGTGGTCTAGGCATTGGATCATTATTGAATCAAACAAAAACCTGGGGGGGGGCTATAATTTTTATGTGCATTCTCTATGGCAACGTCTTGACTAATCTGAGTCAACAAGGCAACAAATTGACACCTTTTTGTCATGCACTATGAATTGTTGCTCCCTCTGAAATTTGGTGTTTTGCTGGGATCCTGACATGAGCAAGATGAAAAACTTTGACAGTGCGTTTCCTTTGTCAGCAATACTCAAAGTTACATTCAATGCAATAATTACATAAAATTACACAGCATATGCATCAAACAACGGGGCCACTTGGCCCAAATGATCTGTGCTAGTGCTTATACTCCACATGGGCCTCCACAGGCCAGTCCTCATCTCATCTTACCAGCATAGCCTTCTATTTCTTTCTACCTCATGTGTGTACCCAGCTTTCCTCCAAAAACACATCCACATTATTCACCTCAATCATTCTCTGTGGTAGCGAGTTCCAAATTCACACCACTCGCTTGCTCAAGAGGGTTTTTATGATGCTGGTTTGATTTATGAGGTACTCTTCTACATTCATGGTTCCCCTAGTGCTGATCTTATTTCATTTTTATTCCCTCATGTCGCTGGCTGGTCTAGCATTTCTTGCCTGTCCCTAGTTGCCCCTTGAGAAAGTGATGGTGAGCTGTTTTCTTGAACCGCTGCAGTCCATGTGGAATGGAGGCATTTTTTCAAACTCTACCCTCTCAAGCCTTTTTTGCCACCTCTGTCAGCATTCATTCACCTTTTTATTTCTCCAGAGGCTCAACCTGTCAGTTAACAAGCAGGGAGTAAAATGGTATGGGCTCCATCTGGGTGTGAAATTGGTTGGTCTCCTGGAGCGTTGGCTCAGAATACAGAGAGGCCTGGACGGAGCGGATGTGGTGAAGTAGGGGAGACTAGGACCTAAAGGCATAGTCTCAGAACGAACGGATGGCCCTTTAGAACTGAGATGAGGAGGAATTTCTTCAACCACAGAGTGGTTAATTTGTGGAACTCATTGCTGCAGAGGGCTGAGGAGTCCAAGTCATTGAGTGTGGCGGATGCCGGGGCACTGAGTAAATGTAAGGAGGGGAGAAATTTTTAATGAGTAACGGGTTAAAGGGTTATGGAGAGCAGGCAGGAAAGTGGAGTTGAGGCCGAGATGAGATCAGCCACAATTGTAATAAATGGTGGATCAGGCTCGAGGGGCTAAATGACTTACTCCTAGTTCTGATGTTCGAGCTGAGGAAGGTTGGGGTTGTGTAATGGAGGCCACTGACGACAGGGTGTGTGGGGAGGAATGGGGTGTGGGAGGTGGGTGCTCAGATGCAGGGCAAAGGGTGTAGAATTCAGCAGGCAGGCCACATTCTGGTGCAGAGTCCCTGAATTGAGTGTCTATGGACAAAGGACTGCCCACTAGGCCACTGGTAAAGCTGACAGATGCAGGGCAGCCCCACGAGAGTCTGGCAAAATTGAGGCGGTAGTTAGTTTTGACAGGCTCCTTGACAATTGGTCCATTCCCCACCATTGGAGAGGGGCTTTCCCCATAATGACCCCTTCCCACCAATCATTAAACACAGCAAAGTTGGCATCAGTCCAACTGATAGACACAGAAGTTAGGAGCAGAGATAGACTATTCAACGCTTCAGGCTGAATCTACCATTCAATATGACCATGGTTGAACTGTTAACGTTCCAGATTTCACATTCACATCTACCCCTGGGATTTCTGAAAAAATGAATGCACCCTCACCTTCAAATATTTGATAATCTCATCTACATCACCTTCTGAGGCAGGGTATTTCTAAAGTCACACAATCCCCTAAGGGAGGAAAAGAATTCCCTTCATCTGGGAAGGATGTTCCCAATGACCCAGGGAGTACAGAACCAGGAGTCACAGGTTAAGGATGTACAGTAGACTATTGAGGATTGAATTGAGGATATATATCTTCTCCCAGAGGGTGGGGAGCCTGTGGAATTCTCTGCCACAGAAAGCGGTTGAGGCTGAAACAACATATGTTTTCAAGAAGGCATTAGATATATGGGACAGCACAGTGGTTAGCACTATTGCCTCACAGCACCAGGGACCCAGGTTTGATTCCACCCTCAGGTGACTGTGTGGAATTTGCACGTTCTACCTGTGTCTGCGTGGGTTTCCTTTGGGTGCTCTGGTTTCCTCCCACAGTCCAAAGATATGCAGGTTAAGGTGGATTGGCCATGCTAAATTACCCCATAGTGTCCAGGACTGTGTAGACTAGGTGGATTAGCCAAAGGAAATTAGGGTTACAGGGATAGCGTAAGGGGGTGGATCTAGGTGGGATGCTCTTCGGAGGTTTGGTGTGGACTTGATGGGCTGAGTGGCCTGTTTCCACACTGTAGGGATTCTATAATTATAGTTGATAGGGTCAAAGGGTATATAGAGAAAGCATGAACAGGGAAATAAGTTGGGTGATCAGCCATGATCATATGGAATGGTGGAGTAGTCTCAAAGGGCCAAATGATCTTCTCTTGCTCCTATTTACTAACTTTCTATGTTCCTATCTCTGTCCTGAAAGGGTGATTCCATTGAAACAGTGCCCCTCACTCTGAACTGACCCATATGAGGAAATATCTTCTCAGAACGGTTACAGTGAAGAAGGAGACCATTCAGCCCATTGTACCCGCACCAGTTCTATTACCTATTTCCCAGATTCTTTCCATGTCCACATTGTCAAGACCATTCAGGATCTTATAAACTTCAATCCAGTCACTCCTCACTCTTCTAAATTCCAGTGGAAACAACCCAGTCTGTCCAACACATGACTTCCTATGCGATTCACTGGGCCCCTTGGAATCTCACCCATCCAGAGGGCTCTTGTTAATTCTGCCTATCAAACCTGTTCCTTTCCATAACTACACCTGGTTTTGAGATGGTTTCAAATGGAATTGCATTTACACATTATCAGAAAGATAATAGATTAAATTTGTTTGCTCTAAAACACATTGTGAACAGGAAATGTTTGAATAATAAATCTTAGTGGTACATTGGTACAGACAGTGTACAGTTGACTGGGTCTGACTATGGTTCAGTGCAACTGAAGTACTTCCTGAGCTACTTTGTAGTTTAGCTCTCCCAAGAGTAAGGCCAACATTGCACCAGTCTATTTGATTGCTTCCCAGGCAGTGCAGTGGCTTTGCACAGAACTCTGAATCTCTTAACCTTCACAATTTACTTCAATCTCTCTTAGACTGCTCAGTTCCCAATGTGACTCCCACCACCCTCCAAAATTATTCATGCCCCATCAAGATGCTTGATACCAAAGGGAGCTTCAGGTAGCTTTCTTAGTTGGCATGAAACTCAAATCACAACAGAAAGGAAAGCTTGATGCATTTAACTGTGTGCTGTCCTTGTCCTGGGAGAGGGTGTTGGGGACACTGTAGAGGAAGCATTATTCTGTATCTAACCTCATGAGGTAGCTGTCCTCGGAGTGTTTTACAGATACAATATAGAGAAGCTTTACTCTGTATCCAATCCAAACTGTCCCTGTCCTTATACATGGAACAATCCCTCTTCCAAAGCTACACTGGCCCTATCCCCCCACCTCTTCATCCGTTACATCAATGACTGTATCGGCGCCGCCTCGTGCTCCCACGAGGAGCTCGAACAGTTCATGCACTTCACTAACACCTTCCACCCCAACCTTAAGTTCACCTGGACCATCTCTGATATCTCTCTCTCCTTCCTGGACCTCTCTGTCTCCATCTCTGGCATCCACCTGGAAACCGATATCCATTTCAAGCCCACCGACTCACACAGCTACCTAGAATACACCTCCTCTCACCGACCTTCCTGCAAGAAGGCCATCCCCTATTCCCAATTCCTTCGCCTCCGCCACATCTGCTCCCGAGATGAGGCATTCCACTCCCGGACATCCCAGATGTCCTCGTTTTTCAAGGACCGCAACTTCCCCTCCACAGTGGTCGAAAATGCCCTCGACCGTGTCTCTCGCATTTCCCGCAACTCATCCCTCACACCGCCTACCCGCAATAACGACCAAAACAGAATCCCCCTCGTCCTCATGTACCACCCCACCAACCTCCGAATCCAACACATCATCCTCCGACACTTCCGCCATCTGCAATCTGACCCCACTACCAAAGACATTTTTCTCTCCCCACCCTTATCTGCTTTCCGGAGGGACCACTCTCTCCGTGACTCCCTTGTCCGCTCCACACTCCCCTCCAGTCCCACCACACCCGACACTTTTCCCTGCAACCAGAGCAA